TATGACCAAAACCCATCAGTAGATCCCTCGTTGAATGTTTACCATCTTTAACACCACAAGTATCCATGTAAGATATGTTTCACGTGTAGTTACTATTTTTAATGTTTAGTTTTGGAAACATTTAGTAACGGATATCATCTCATATTAATGATCATACCTAGTCGAGGATTATAAGACAACTTAACCATGTTACTACCACTATCAAGCCGTAGTTTCTATTTGTAACACTACTACTCTCGACATGAAATCTTTAAGATAAGTAATTAACAACATACACACTCATAACCTAGTGAAAAAAGATCAAGATCAACCACCATCACCACCGTGAGGTGGTGGCTGCCGCCAAGCACCGCCGCTGGCCACCATGGTGTGGCTGTGTGTGTGTGTATTAGTTAGTGTGTGTATTTTGGATAAAAGCCTTGTAATTGTAATTAGCATGAAGTAATGAAAATAATAATAGTAACCATCACCGTATGGTGGTGGCTGCTGCCGTGAGCCGCCATTGACCACCACTACCCGGGGTGGTAGTGGGTGGTGCCCCTCAAGCAAAACCCTGATGGACCTAGCCAAAACCCTAATGGGATTAAAGATTTATTTTGGGCCTATTGGGCCATGGTTGAGTGGAAACCCTAATTAGGGTTTAGAAAACCCTAATTGTGAGTAATTGGGCCGTAGAAATATTGGGCCCACTTTGGGGCTATTGAGATTAGATTGTGTAGTAAGCCCAATTTCTCCATATCATTAATCTAGTAGAGTAAAGGACTTAATGGATTAAGTCCTTAATGGGTTAAGTAAGAAATACTTAACCCTAATCATCATTTTATGTGAAACCCTAATTTCACTTGGGCTTTGTGTTGAGCCATCCAAGAATGACCAAATGGACTAGAGTAATTAGTTGGGCTTTAGTGTAAGGCTCATAAGAAGGATTGGACCTAATTTGGAAAATTGAGCCATAGATGGACCATAGTTTAGGCCTAGATGGTTGTATGATATTTGGCCCTTAGAATGAGACATGTTGGACTGGATCGAACAATTGGACCTTAAGGGAAGTCCAAGTAGAGGTTTGGGCACAATTTGGAAAATTGGGCCAAAGGTTAGGCTTGGAGCCATAGTTAGACTTTGGGCCTTTGGATTGGGCCTTGGGACTGAGTCAAGCTAAGACAGTGGTAAAGTACTCTTTTACCCAAGTATGGACTTATGGTTATGACTTGGAACCCAATTATTAATTGGGTGTTATTTTAGTGTTGACGGTTCGGGAATATGTCATCAAGCAGCTAGGGTTGAGTCTGCGGGACTTCAGCAGTATGAGATTGTGTCTACGGAACTTCAGCAGTGTGAGGTGAGTTTCCTTCTAGTAGGAACGAGTCTACGGCCACAATGTTGGCCCGTTTAGTTAGCATTAGTTTCGGACTACAGTCCGATGCAGTAGTTCAGTATGCTTGGTGTCTTTGTGATACAGACATGGGATGAGTTATGTGTTCTGGACTATGTTCCGATGCAGTATGCAGTATATGTATTCATGCTAGTTGATATGTTACGATATGTTATGTTCAGTCAGTTCCGAACTTCGGTTCGATGTAGAGGGCAAGGCCCTAGTTAGTTCCGGACTCGGTCCGATGCAGTTTCCGGACTTCGGTCCGATGCAGTTAGTTCTGGACTTCGGTTCGATGCAGGGGACAAGGTCCCAGTCAGTTCCAGACTTTGGTCTGATGCAGTTTCCAGACTTCGGTCCGATGCAATGGGCAAGGCCTAGTATGTACTTTATATGTTATTGTATGGTATGTAGTAGTTTGGGGGAGCTCACTAAGCTTTGTGCTTACAGTTTTAGTTTTGGTTTCAAGTACTCAGTTTTCAAAAGAGGAGCTCGAGAAGATTGCAGTGCACACACCATTTGTTCAGCCTGGGGTGTTTATACTCTGATATATTTGACAATTGTTATGATATTTTGAGATACGTACTTTATGATTCTTATATGACATTTGATGAATATGGTTTTAATACCGATTTAAAACGAAATTTTCAGACTGTTTTTTGAGATGTTTCATTAAGTCTTCAAACAATTAGGTAAGGGGCACCTTACCAATAGACTATAATGCTATCTCACATGCCCTTTAGTGTATATATATATATATATATATATATATATATATATATATATATATATATATATATATATATATATATATATATATATATATATATATATATATATAATGAACTAAAAATTTGATTTAAGTACTAATTAATTTATTTGTTTTTAACGAATAACTAAAAGCAATAAAGAGAAACTAAATATAAAAGATTAGATTCAATAGTTATGTATTTTTGTAGAAAATATAAAATCAGAAAGTATATGATTATGATCACTCACTACTGATTAAAGTGGTGCAAAAGGACTAAAATAATATAATATCCCCCCCCCCCTCCCTTAAGTTCAAATAATATGGTACCATTATGAGTACAATGTTTAGTACATATATGTATTACTTTGTATACTACGTATTCATGTCATAATAACATGCATTACATGATGCATGTGAGGAAGTATGTCAATAACTTGACAATAATTGACGTAAGTGATGCAATGCTGAACTTTTTACTTTCAGAGCACAACAAGTATCCATGTTAGGTATGTTTCGCACATATTTACTACATTTAATGTCTTAGTTTTGGAAAGATGTAATAACGGATATCATCCTCTATATGAATAAGATAAAGTAGTGAAAATTCACCTAAATATGTCGTGGTATCATTTTTGTTTTTTTAATAATCCAAGGTATCATTGATATATATATATATATATATATATATATATATATATATATATATATATATATATATATATATATATATATATATATATATATATAGATATATGGAAAAGTGAATATATCCTTAAGGGTATATAAGTTTAGGTACTCAAATTCACCATACCACCTCATTTTGTATCATATAATACATTCTAATTGTCTAATGTTCTTATAATTTAACTTCTAACTTGATTTACGTCCATGATTTTTATAAATTACATATTTATCTTACCCTTACATAATCTTTATTTTCAACTACAATATATATAGTCTAGTATGTGGTCGGCAAAAAGATGTGATGTAAGAGGAAGATAATAATAAAATTTCAAAAAATTTGAAAATAAACCAAGTTAGGGGATGAAGTTTAATAACATTATAATGAACATATATCAAACAAAACATCGTATTATGGTGTGTTTGGGTACCTAAGCTTATATACCGTTAAGGGTATATTCACTTTTCCCATATATATATATATATATATATATATATATATATATATATATATATATATATATATATATATATATATATATATATATATATATATATATATATATATATATATATATATATATATATATATGGGAAAAGTGAATATATATATATATCAGCGGAACCTGTTAAACCATGTTGTTTTAGGGGTGATTTAGAAATACTCAAACAACATCAGAGTTCAGAAGTTTTATATGGTGATGCGATTACTCAACTGATACTTCTTCCCTAATAAGTTCTAGTTCAATTCTATTTCTCTCCCACACCAACATCTCCTACAATCCCCTCGCCAGTATTCTACCCTTCAAAAAACCATTTATCTCATAAGCTTCGGTGTGCTCGTTGTCCCCTGGAAAATAATCTGTCGATTAATTCCTTCTTACGATATCTTAATCACGGATTAACTAAAGGTTATGTTCTCGTTATCCATGTTTCAATTTTTTGCTCTCCTTGATATGAATCATTTTAGTTGGTTAGGTTTTCAAATATGAATTACAGGAAAAAGTCGATTGCATATTCATTGCCCCAAATTCTTGTCTGGTATTGGATTTTCCACCAAATTCGACCAATACACACAATTTGGTTGCAATTTACACAAGGCAGGACCAAGCCACAAGCAATCTCTCACAGTATCTCTGTCGGTCTAGATTGATTATTTGTATCTTCTCTTGCGCTCTATCGTACCCTAATGCCCCCGCTATTGCCACCTAGCGGCCGTCTGCCTCTGGTCATGTCGTCAGACCTTTCTTCTTGCCCTGTACGATATCCTTCTCCATTGAGTCCTCTATTTCTATTAATGATTTTGTTTTTTAAGGACCAGATGCTTTTACAATAGTTGTATTAAGATCTATCAAGTTTCTTGAGGTATTATGATTTGTACATGCTTATCAAATTTAGGGTTCACATGTCTTGTTCAATTGATAAAAGATGTTTACTTTTATGTCAGTTTGAAGTTCTAAAACCCAATCAAATGATGTAGACTCAAGTAATGAAATGAATATGATAAATTTGAAGTGTTTGATGAATTTTTAAAAAAGTAATGACAAATTGTGAAAGTGCTCTGATTGCAAAAGCAGGCAAATAATTCGTGTGATATATATGTACATATTCCACAAAATTATTTTGATGGATAAGACACACTCGGGTTGACTTAAAGACCATCAAGCGTGAGTAGGTTAAAATCCAATGTTAACTAGAATAGCAACGTACTTTGATTTTGTATTAGAAATAGCAAAGTTGTTTGATTTTTTTACGATAATTAGCAATGTACCATTACTTTGCATCAGAAATAGCAATCTATATACGAATTTTGATAGAATCCACTGTTTCCTTTTCCACTTAGATTTCTCTATGATTGATATAATCTTGTGTATCTTTTTCTAATTGCAATATAAAGCATGATTCCTCCAATCCAGTTATGTACACAATGTGCAATCTTGCAAAGAAGATAATAAAGTTTCAATTTTAAATAATTATACAAAATCAGCAACATACTTCTCGTTGTTAACCGGAATAACATGTTCTGACTTTTTATGGAAAATAGCAATACATATACATATTTTTATAGAATCAACAATGTACTTTTCATTTTAAGCCCATAGTAGCAATGTACTTTTATTTTTACCCTATATTAACAACCTACTTATATTTGTAACACATCTGTGTTAAAAACAAAAACCATCTAGATGTTTCATACACCATTTTTTGTCCAAAATAAAATATAATTACCGCAATTATCCAAAATAGGTTTTCATACACCATTTATTTCCAAAACATAAAAAATGTGCCTATTTAAAACATAAAAAAATCAACTATCCAAAACAGAAACCATCCAAATTTCTCCCAACAACAAGACATATCACCATTGTTTCTCTTGCAACAATTCATCTGCCTGATACATGAAAAATAAAATAATTAATATAATAATTACACCGGTAAACTCATGACAATATAAAGTGATATTACAACTACCTTTCTTTTTGAACAACTAGTGGCGTAGTGACACAATCCTTCTTCGGCATTTCTAATAAAGACCTAATTCTTGTAGCATTTTTAGGCCGCCCTTTTGTATTAGATGGGCCAATAGGATCCCGTACAAACAATTGAGGCATCATATCTACTTGTCAAATTCCCGTAAAACAACCTTGAGATGCATTTTCAAATGCTTTAGGCTTTTCCTGAATCGTTAGATCATCTAAAAGCTTTATCAATACAGTATTAACTTTATCTATTTTTAAAGGGGATTTCTTTTCTTGTTCAATAACTTTGGTAAAATTTGAACGGACACACCACAAAGTGAATGCGCTCACTCCATTTTCATTATTCATTTCCTCTAGTCCAATACTACTATTACCCACCTTATACCTAGCATTAAGGGTCCACCGTGGTAAAATATAGTGATTCGGAAGTGTTTCAACATGCCTCTTCTTCATAACATACAAGCAATGCTTACATAAAATCCCACATATTTATACTTTGCACATGAACATGTGACATTAATTTCACTCATATAACGGAAGGTAACAGTTCGCCAATATGTTTTATCAACATCAAGTTGCCCAACTCGGTATATAATTTCTTCTTTACTTTTGCTTAACGTCTCATGAGTTAAATTGTTAGTGGCTTCCATCCATTCATTTTTAAAAATCTCAAAAGCTTTTCTAGTGTAACACTCACCTGCTTTTGCTTCAATTGGATGCACAGAAGAAAGAACTGCCCTCGATTTCATAGTCTTGAAGTCTTCATCTTCTTTGGCGGCCCTTCGAGTATGTACTGCTTTTTCATATTGTAGTACAAATGCATTCAACATGGTGTTGGAATTGACAAATCCATCAAAAAAAATTGATACTCTCACTTAGTCTACTTGTTGTCATACCGGCCAAGAAAATATCTTTGAAGAAAGGTTTTGCCCAATGTATCCGTTGGTTATACATTTCACTTATCCAACTTATGTTCTAGGTTATACCTACTACGCATAACTTCAAACTTTTTTTCAAATTCTTCAATGGTGTCATTGTTTACCCAATGTCTATAAGATTCCTGAAAATCACTATAACGAGCAACAAATTGGCGAATGTGTTTCGGTTCATGCCTTTTAATATGGCATTCACAAAAGCGGTGTCGAGTGTTTGGAAACACTTTTTTTATCGCATTACCCATCGCTTTGTCTTGATCTGTAATAATTGCCTTTGGATGCTTTCTAAACATACACTTTAGGAAATTCTCGAATAACCTTACAAATGTTTCTTCTTTTTCATTTTCTAGCAATGCTCCACCAAAAAGTATAGATTGCCGATGATGATTAACCCCTACAAAGGGAGCAAATGGCATTTTGTATTTATTTGTCATATAAGTGACATCAAACACAACAACATCTCCAAACTTAGTATAGGCATCTCTTGATCTTCCATCAGCCCAAAATATATTCCTAGGATAACCATCATCACATAAGTCCACAACAAAATACTGGTCATTATCTACTAATGCTTTATCTTGGAAATGCTTTATAAGTCCATAAAACTCCTTTCCCCTATACTGTTTTCGTTGCTCGGATAAGACATCAGCACATTGCTTTAAAGTAACATCGGCTTCATCTGAAGTTTTCATTGCGTTAATAGCCTTTTTAATTTGAGAAGGCTTCAAACCTGCTTGACCAAATTGCACCATAAGAGATCTACATTCGATAGTACGGTGGAACTTCCCATGCGATCTATGCTTCATTACTTTCATTGGTGTCAAGCTCAAGGCATGATTGTGTGTGTCATTAAACTTGTCCACGATCCATTTCTCATCCTTCTGTTTTGAAATTTGAATCATTGCTTTGCATCCCGTTCTTACTTCTCTACAACGTTTTATCACTTTTCCAATTGAATTATTAACTTTCAAGCATTTGAAACCTTCTTTGTTGCATACATATGTCTTCCGATAATGCTCATTTGTTGTCTTATTCTTAAATCTCCAATGAATACGTATACCAAATCCATGTAAAAATGCATAATCATTATAAAATGTATACGCATCATTGGGTGTATCGAAAACCTTTCCAATAATACTTTGATCATTACATGCACCTTCGTCACATCCAATATTGAAACCATCATTATTTATTTTTTCTGATTCAGATGTCGATCTTGAATAACCATTATTTGCATCAATATCTTCATTTGTCTGTTTTTCAAAGGACTGATCTGCTACTTGCATTTCTGAATCCATAATGTGGAATGTGACCTGCACCAAGAAAACCACACATGAATGTCATTCTACAATTAAAAAAGAAAGAAACAATTTTGGGTAAAATGGATTTGAGATACATGTTATGTATATTTAACCGTAGAAGTATAAAGACAATATAAGAGACTTTATATGTTTATGTAGATTGCAAGTATATTACACAGTAATATGTTAATTTAATGGTTTATGAAAATAAAGGATAAAAACAGCACATGTGTCGTCAACTACACAACTGATATCAATTTACTCATAAGGATTCTGTAAAGCAACAATTGATATCAATTTAGTCATAAGGATTCTATAAAGCAGACAATCAAAGAAACAATGAATACTGTCATTTCTTGCATTGAAAAGTAATAACCAAAAACCCAATATATGTTTATTAAAAATTATGATTACATGTGATCGACCCCACTTTCTGCCACTAAATCGATTAAATATATTACTATAGTCTTGGCCAACTTGATTTGGATTTTTAATAAGTGAATCAACGGAATCAATTAGCAATTCTAAAAACAAGTAAAACATGTGTTTATCCATAATCGGTCTGTAAAAGGCGATTGGTTGTGAGGTATTTAAAATACAAATAATGAAATTAGGTGTGTAAACTGATTGTGAATTGAATGAATATGAACATACGTAATACACACCTGTAGGTAGGCCGGGAAAAATGATGTTTTCTTCAATTAACGTACATAGGTTTAAGAGGCGAGAAGAAGATGATGTTTTTTTAATTAACCTACGTGATCATGTAAGATATTAGATAATGTAGGCCAAAAAATGACGTGGTTTAATAGGTTCCACACCTAAGCTTATATGGGGCTGATATATATATATATATATATATATATATATATATATATATATATATATATATATATATATATATATATATATATATATATATATATATATACTTCCAACGATCTTCAAACGAGTCCAAATAAATATATTTAACTCATCTAGAAATTAAGGTTAGATTCATTAGTTTGTTTTCTCGTCAGTATCATTGTAAGGAAATGAAAAAAAAACATTTTCATGAAGAAAATGTCACTCGCTTACAAATGAGCTAAATATGAGTACATGGATAATTCAGGAATTTATTCTCTTAGATTCCTTAACGGTCACTTTTGGATAGATAACTTTACGACTTGATACTTTCGTTGATGATGTGCTACTAGGATCTATCAATAATGTGAAAGATCTAGTATGCTCAAGGATCATGTTAAAGTGATATTGTTAATTAACATATGATACTAATAAGTCACACTAAAAACAAACTGATATAATTGATTATTAATTAGAAATTATTTATTTCATAGAAATATTAATTTTTATTAGCAAGTAACATTACATAATTCATATGATATGAACTAATAAGTCATGCACAACATTTTGGACTAGATGAATAATTTTTCTTTTACCAAAAAAATTCAATTTTATATGTTATAAACTTGGTTTATAAAATATAAAAGTTTTATCCTCTATTGCCTTCTTAATTTTGAACGTATGGGAATAAAAAAGGATGGCATGGTCTTTGACTAGTTTATTCAAAAAGAAGGGTATGGCTTAAAGCATGGGGAACACATAAACATGGGGAACACATAGGATTTAGGTGCATGGGTTTTTAATATGTTAAGGAATTATGGTCCAAATATTATCTTTATAAAGTGAGGCTTTCATTCATCTTTCTCCAACCATGAAAAAATTGTAACTTGTATGTGTATGTGTATGTTTCTCTCTAGTTTTTGTTGAAGATTTGAAGATCAAACTCTTGTTTTATGCTCTCTTTATGTTTTTATTTTGATAAGAACATAAGCTTAAGAGTCTTAAGAGTTTTATACAAAAGAACTATCATTCTACATCAAGTTGATTCATTGTTGGTGTCTCTAAATTTCATCATTCTTCATCAACTTCCTAGCCTCCCAAGAGGACCCAAAGAACTACAAAGGTTGTTATTTCTTTGTCTTTTCTTTGGTTGTTGTTTAAATCTTTCAACAACTTGTAAGATGATCATTGATGGGTGTTAAATTGTTTATGTTATTCAAAGTTTATAAGTCTTTCATTGCCTAAATCTTATGTTTTTGAAATTATTTTTGAATAAAACCCGACAATTTGTATTAGAGCCACCTTGCAATTTTTGGTTAGATTTTTTTTATTTTTGGAAATCTTAGTTTTTAGAGAATGTGGATAACTTCGTTATGTATAAAAACAAGTTAATACATATTTTCTTTGACTATTTTTTTTAATTGTTATTTTTATGTGACTAAAGTTTCATGCATATTATGTCATTTAAAGTTGTCTTAAAAAAACAAAGGTTGTTTTATGTGTATGCAATGTATTGTGTGAATAAACTAGCCAAAGACCATTGTATTTGTTGTGTTGTTGTTGTAGTTGTTTTTTTTTTTGTTATAAAAATGGTTGTAAAAATTTCTGTATTCATTTGGTATGTAATAATTAAATAGATTATTTTTCATAGTTTATTTTTGTAAATAATATATTAGTTGTTAGATATAATTTATTTGTATGAATGTAATAGGAAATGAAGTTGGAGCCATTTTTTGAAGACAACAAGGCAATTTTCGAGGTTTTGAGGTGTGCAGGGACAAAGGCAACCTTTTCAACAATCTGTTGCAAAAGGTGATGTTGTTGGCAGCTTCCCTTAGAGTTGTTGGACCCGATGCAACCTTTTCTGAAAGGTGATTCATATTTCTGAATTATTGTTTTAATGAAGTTTTTAAATCTTTTGCAAGAATGGATGTTTTCTCAAGTGGGATCTTCTACAACAACATTACTATCACACCCCCAAACCAGAACGACAGAATTGTTCGAGGGCGGATGACTTCATGTAGTATCATAACAGTTGAGTAAATAGTAAAGAATTCAAACACAACCATCATAAATGTAATTTAAATAGTTGCATTGTTGATTGTAATACATGTTTCAAATGAAATTACATTATGATGATATATTAAGTTTGAAATTTGACGTCTTAACGTTCCTTCCCCAAAAGCTGTGGTTTACCTGTATTACTGAATTCCTGAGAAATACAAGTAGTTTTGAAAAAGCATCAACAATTAAGTTGGTGAGTTCATAAGTGTTTTTGTATAAGAACTATATGTCTTTTTGTATGAAGTAACCGACTTTGTTTCTAGAAAATCCAATATTTTCTATAAATGAATGGTAGTTTCTAAAAGTTCCAAAAACCGGAATGCACAAGTATTTTCCATACCAAAAATAGTGTAAGTAGATTTATATATGTATATATAATCACTAAGGCGCTTGTTAGCCGCGTAAATCAAATGTTTTAATACTTCATGGGAGTTTTATAACCGTACTATTGACCCAGACTGTCTGTCACAACGTTCTTTAGGCGTTGGAATGATATGACGTTTGTCACCACAGACCTATTAGTCCAACTGTAGCTAACAATTTAGGTGTGGGATTGTCAATCTTGTATAGATCTATACACAAGTATCACGCTCTCCCTACAGAAGATAATAGTGTATAACACAGGACTTGAAATGCGTACTTGAAAGTACGTGAAGTTAAATGTCTCACAAAAGTTGGTATCAAGTA